GGGCCCTGGGGCGTTGCTGGAGGGGTTTTCCTGGAGGTGGAGGGTGGCGGGTCTCCGCCGCTAACGCGCTTCCTTGCCGTCTTTCCGACAGAGTCTCCTGCCAGTTCCCGGGTCACTCGGAGCTCTGGCCGGCAGCCGTCCATCCTGGCCATGTTTTCCAAAGGGTCAGTACGTTCGCAGAGCTGGGACCTGCACCTCCCCTACCGTGTCCCTGTGGGGCCTTGGCCCTCTTCTCCCTCCATCTGCTGTGCTGAGCCTTCGGGGCCGATAGGCTCGCTCCCAAAACTTGCAGGTCTGCTGTTTCCCAGGAGGACCAGCCTTGAGGGCCTGCGGGGCAGTGTCCGGAGGAGCTCTGCTCCAGGCCGCAGACCTGCATGGCGGGAGCCTGCCTGGAAGTCCAGCTTGTTTCCCCCCGGAAAGCTCTTTGCTTCTGGTGTTGAGCTCAGGGTTGAGTCTTGTGTTTACAACTAGCAGATCCAACAAACGGAAGTCAGACGAGGTGAATGGGGAAGTGAAGCAAGAGAAGAGCGTGGAGAAGGAGGAAGAGGAGCTGGAAGAGGTGCGTACTGGAGCTGTTCACGGATGAGGTCTTGGCTGGGCTGCCACCAAGCTGTGGTCATGCATGTTGTTCTGGAGGGTGTTGTGTGCTCCAGCCGCAGGCACTATTCTCCTCTTAGGCCTTTTCTTTCTTTCCTCTCTCAAGGAACAAGATGAGAAAAGGATTAAAATTGAAACCAAAGAAGGGTAAGAAGGAGAGTTGTGCGTATGTGTATTTTCTGAGGGGGTGTTTGGGCTGGTGCATGTTGGTGCCTGTGTTTGCCCACAGCAGAAGACAGCGGTGAAGGACTCAATGGCAATGAACGTTTCTGTCTGCATTGGCACTGTTAGTGCGGGAGGGAGGCAGCGCTGTGTAAATCGGGGCAGTTTAGCTCCCACGAGGAAGATGTTTCAGTGATGAAGCACCTGGAACGATGGACTGGTTCAGAGATCCTTCTGCTTTGCGCTTGCAGTTAGTTGTTCTGTTGCTGAAGGTAAAAGACGCCCCTGAGCTCCACGGCCCAGGTCCACCGATGCCTGGCTCCCGTTCGGACTGAACTTCTTTGCGTTGTCAGGTTTCTCTGTTACGCTTTGGCTCTGGCCCAAGCGACTGAAGCATTCGAGGGCCGTTAAAGGTTGGCTTGTCCAGATGTGCCACTGGACTAAACAAGTGTCTGCTCCCACCCCTCCTGCAGGGCTGTAGCGTAGATCCAACCACCCCAGGCAGTGTCCCTGCTCTAGCCTGCTCCGGGGGGGTCACTAGCACGCGGGAGGAGTGGGCAGAGTGCAGAGACCTCCGTGCCAGGTGAGGAGGGACTCCAGGGCCCTCCGCACTGCTGCGAGAAACGGGGAAACGGGGCTCGCAGCCTGCTCTGCCCTCCTGGCCACGTCAGCTTTAGGGGGCTCTTGGGGCGTTATGTTGCTCTGTATCTTTATGCCTTGTCTTTATATATTCTTGCACCCAGGTCTGAGATAAAAGATGAAATTACTCAGGTTAAAACTACACCGCCTGCTAAAGTAAGTTGCTTTTCCTGTTTGTGTCTCAGCACTTCTGGCACTTACTTATTTTTTCACCTGTTCCAAGCAGCGGCTAGACTTCACTAAGGGAAAGATAACGCCCTTACTGGTGCACACAGCTTCCAAAAAACAGAGGCTGAGGCAAGCTAGAGAGCAGCACAGCCCGGGTGAGCTGGGCCAGGGCAAGAGCTGATCTCCCTTGCTGGTGGAGCAGAGAATGCCACCTTGAAGTGAGGGCGACAGCCACTGTTTGGCTCCCCGGACGCTTTGTAAAGGAGGGCTGGGCTAAAGCATAGGGCTGGTTAATGGGGAAGGAGCTTTGCGTCGGGCTGAGGGTGACTGTGGGTTGAAGCGTGGTGAGAGAGAAGCTCACGATCCTCTGTGTCTCGCAGACCACCCCTCCCAAGTGCGTCGACTGCAGACAGTACCTCGATGACCCTGACCTCAAATTCTTCCAGGGGGATCCTGACGATGCTGTAAGTGACTTGCTGCTCCCTCTTTTGGGTCTGGGGAATGCTTTCACGCTAACCGGAGCGCTCTTTAAATGCGCCTGTATCTCTCTCTCACTTAGCTGGATGAGCCAGAAATGCTGACAGATGAGCGCTTATCTCTCTTTGACGCTAATGAGGATGGGTTTGAAAGCTATGAGGACTTGCCGCAGCATAAAGTCACCTCTTTTAGGTGAGATTTCCTGCGTCCGGGGAAACTGGCTGGGAAAATCAGCTTTATTTTTAAATCCCATGGTGATGCACAAACTATGAGCTTTTCTCCCCACTTCTTTTTCCAACAGTGTCTACGACAAACGAGGTCACTTGTGCCCGTTTGACACTGGCCTGATAGAGAGGAATATAGAGCTGTATTTCAGTGGTGCTGTGAAACCGATATACGACGACAACCCGTGTCTGGACGGTGAGTCTGGCTCGGAGGAGCCTTGGGGGCTGCGGGCGGGATGTCCTCCCCTGCTCTCGACAGCCTGTGCTCTCGGCTGGGTTCTGGCAGCAGGGAGTGGGTAAAGGGCGCTGCTTTGCCTGCACTAGCAAGGCACGTGGGGACACCATTTCTGAGCTGAAAAGTAGCAGCATCAGGCTGCTGGGCTGTTGCAGTTTCCCCTGAACTCTCAGCTCAATGCTGCGTGCAAAATGGAGTTAGTTCTGACTGAGTAGCGTTTTATGTTGCTGTTTTGTCATAGGCAGCCACTTGCGCTTGGGTGTGGGGCAGCAAGACCTCTGCACCAAGGACTGAAATCTGTGTCTTCTCCCCTTCAGGTGGTGTGAGAGCCAAGAAGTTGGGACCCATAAATGCCTGGTGGATCACGGGTTTTGATGGAGGGGAGAAGGCCTTGATCGGCTTCACCACAGGTGGGTGCACAAGGGGTGGGAGGCTTGGCTCAGAGAGCACCGGTGTGTTGGGTTAAGTGTCTGTGCTGCGCGTCTGACTGTTGGGGAAGCTTCGTGTGGGTTCGTGGATGTTGCTGCTATGGTGAACTTGCACCTTCAAACATGTGGCATGAAACAGAGGTGGAAGACTGTGCCGATGCTCTGGTTTGAGTTTATTTAGCTCAATCAGCAGCAATTCGGTTTATGCTAAACTTGCACAAAACCTCCTGCAGAGCTCAGTCCGTTCTCAGCTGTGAACAGTCCCCTGCGCCAGACCTGAGGTTTGCCGTGCATGCCCCACCTGCGGGGAGGGACGATCGGGGTGCGAGAACTGGGACGAGCAAGGTGGCTTGAGGTGTTGCCTCCCTGCAGGACGTGTGCAGCCTCCCCTTCCCAGGCAGGACCTGTCCTCCAGCTCCTCCTGCACGGGAGGCTGTCGGTGTAATGTGGAGGCTGGTCGGGGTCACTCTCAGAAGGAGCTTTCTATTTGCTCTTGACCTCTGTTGCAGGGATCTGTTGCTTTCTTGCTCCACTCCTTGGGCTTTCTAGATGTACTTGTGTTGGAAAAAGTCTTGGAGAAATGCCCAGCCCTGCTCTGCTCTTGACTCTCAAAGTCCCAGCTGCTCGGTGGGACTGCTCTCTAGCTGAACTGGGGGAAGAAGCAGAGGTTTGGGGGGCTTAAAAGCTTTTCCCTTCACCATTTCTGTGAGGAACATAACCCTTCCAATAACCTGTTCTGTTCAAAGCAAAGGTGATATCAGAGGACTTAACTCTCCTGTGCATCAGCAAATGGAGTTTGTAATGACAGAAAAACCCTGGATTGTCTTTGGTTTCTAATTAGGTAACAGCACACCAAGAGTAAAAGACTAGTCCATGGATAGTGTGAATGCTGGTCTGTGCCCCACCTCAAGTTCCTGCCCCTACTGCTTTGGTGTTGATAGCTGGGTGAATGTTGGTCCTGGCTAGTGGTATAGAGCTGCTTCTGGGCTTCCTTGTGCGCTTAGGTCATATCCTGGTGCCGTCCCTTGTAACAGTGCGGACAGGCTGGCCTCCCCCCGAGAACCCGTACCGCTGCAGTCCTAGCTCAGCCTTTACTGCTAACTTCCCCCGGTATTTACCCTCTGCTGTACTCTCTTTTTGCCGCAGCCTTTGCGGATTACATCCTGATGGAGCCCAGCGAGGAGTACGCACCCATCTTTGCACTCATGCAAGAGAAGATCTACATGAGCAAAATCGTTGTCGAGTTCCTGCAGAACAACCGTGACGTCAGCTACGAGGATCTGCTGAACAAGATCGAGGTGAGCGGCTGGCAGCAGCGCGTGCGTTTGCTCGATAGCCATGAGGCTGGTCCTTTACGGAGTAGCCCCCGTTACTTGATGACATACATTGAATTAGTGTGAGCTCATGGCGGGTGAGTGGGAGCATGGTATGTGCCATGTCCCACCATTTCAGGGACAGCTGGCTGCGCCAAGTACGCAAAGGGAAATCACTTGTGCTCCAGTGTTGCTTGGTGGCTGCTGTTTGTTTGGGAGGCAAAGCCAGTGCAAGGGAGAGCCTGGGGAACCGTTGCTGTTCCTTGCACGCAGAGATGGCTACCAGCCTCGGAGGAGACGCTGTTGTCCTCACAGAAGCTGGCCTTTGCAGCTCTTCCTCGCCTGCAGCGTCCGGGGGAACGCTGTGCAGCGTAGGGGTGTTGCACTGCCACCCTTTCCCTAACCTACCTGTCCTTGCAGACCACAGTGCCTCCCGCAGGGCTGAACTTCAACCGCTTCACGGAGGACTCGCTCCTGCGGCATGCCCAGTTCGTGGTGGAGCAGGTAGAAAGCTATGACGAAGCTGGGGATAGCGACGAGCCACCCGTCCTCATCACGCCCTGCATGAGAGACTTGATCAAGCTGGCTGGAGTCACCCTGGGGAAGAGGTAAGCCCTGTGTCCCCTGGCCTTTCTGGGCGCAGCCTCTGCCTTTTGGGCTTTCTGCTCTCTTTGGCCTTGCAGCCTCCCAGGAGATGCTCAGCAGGTTGGTTTCCATCCGCGTAGCTGCTCTGCACGTAGAATCATTCCAGGATAACCATTTTGCTTGTTAGTAGCTGGGATGACTTGAGGATTTACACTGGATGCTTTCATAGCACAGGGAACACTGAGAGATTTGGGCAGAAATTCTCCTGAAACTGGCACCGTGGAAAGCCCTTTGCCCACTGCTGCCCCCAGGGAGGGAAGGTCATCTGGTCGCTAGAGGCGGGGTTGGGACCCTGGCGACTTGCCTTGCTCTTTGTCCTGCTGCGACACCTCTCAGGGACCCTGTGCGAGTCGCAGCTTGCGTCTGGGCTCTGCTCCCTAGAGTGGAACTGGTTTCTACCAGCGTGGAGTGCCCTTTGCGGGATCCTGCCATGATTCTTTACAGTCAGGCACCCCATGGCGAGCTCTGTTCCTTGGGGATCTTTTCCCCCGGATCACGGGGGCTGTTCAGCTATCGGGGATTGCATGGTGGGGGCTGTGAGCTATTGGCGGTGCAAGGCGCAGGCTCCACTCTCACCGTCCCGTCCTTGGTTACAGGCGAGCTGCAAGGCGGCAGGCCATCCGGCATCCCACCAAAATAGACAAGGACCGAGGCCCCACCAAGGCCACTACCACCAAGCTGGTGTACCTCATCTTCGACACCTTCTTCTCCGAGCAGATCGAGAAGGATGAGAAGGAGGACGATAAGGAGAATGCTATGAAGCGCCGGCGCTGTGGCGTCTGCGAGGTAACTGCAGGCTGGCACGAAGCCAGCCGCGGTGACCCGATCTCCTGCCCTTGTTCCGCCCCAAACATCCCAGCCCCTGCTGGGGTTCCCCTATGGCGGGTTCACTCCGCTGTTGTGTCCCTCAGGATAGAGGAGCAATTCCTGAGGGCACCAAGCTCCCCTGGGTCCCTGTCCTTCCTGCCTAGGGCCTCTCTGCTGCATCTGCCCGCGCTCACCCTGCCCTCTCTCCCTGCTGCAGGTCTGTCAGCAGCCTGAGTGCGGGAAGTGCAAGGCCTGCCAGAACATGGTGAAGTTTGGGGGGAGCGGACGGAGTAAACAGGCCTGTTTGCAGAGGAGGTACGTCTCCCTGGGGCAGCCCGGAGGGGTGGACAGCGGGGTCTCGGCTGGCCCAGGCCTCCTGTGGAAGTCCCGTCCCTTGCTCAGGAGAGAGGGATGGGGGGGCCCAGTCTTGCCCTGCTGGTGCCCCGTCTGGGCTGGTCTCTGCACAAAGCCCTGCTGCAGTGACGGTCGCTGCGTCCCCAGGTGCCCCAACCTGGCTGTCCGAGAAGCTGATGAGGATGAAGAAGTGGATGACAACATCCCTGAGATGCCGTCGCCCAAGAAGATGCTGCAGGGCAGGAAGAAGAAGCAGAACAAGAGCCGCATTTCCTGGGTGGGGGAGCCCATCAAGGTGAGGCTGGGCGTGCGTGCAGCTAACCCACCGGAAAGGGGAGCCCTACGTCTCCCGCTGCAGCTGACGGAGCTGGGGTTCACGGTCAGGCTGCGAAGGGGACTGCCTTGACCACGGAGGCAGCGGCACGCGGCTGTATTGCTTGCTCTCAGGGGATTTAACAGGACTCCCTGACTGTCCTGTGTTTCTGCAGAGCGACGGGAAGAAGGACTATTACCAGAAGGTGTGCATCGACTTGGAGACTCTGGAGGTGGGGGACTGCGTCTCCGTCAGCCCCGACGATCCCACCAAGCCCCTCTACCTTGCCAGGTTGGTGCTGTGGGGCTGAAGAGCCGGGTCTCTGCTCACGGTGGGGTGGATTTTCACGGGGACAGCTGACGTGACCTGCCAGGGCTGCCAGCAGAGCAGGGGTGGAGCAGGGAACCCTCCCCACCAAGGGGCTTGGCTCTCCCCACCAAGCCATGCTGCTGTCTAAGGTCTCCTTAGCTCTGGCAAGGCTCGGAGCAGTGCGACTGCTCTTCTGCAGCCCTTTCTTGGCGCCCCATAATCTGGGCTCCTTTCCCTCCCAGGGTGACTGCCATGTGGGAGGACAGCAGTGGCCAGATGTTCCACGCCCACTGGTTCTGCCCTGGCTCAGACACCGTCCTGGGAGCCACCTCTGACCCCCTGGAGCTCTTTCTAGTGGATGAGTGCGAGGACATGCAGCTGTCCTACATCCACGGCAAAGTCAAAGTTATCTACAAGGCGCCTTCAGAGAACTGGTCCATGGAGGTGGGTGACAGCCCTGCAAACCCCGGCTGGCAGCGGCCGCTAATAGCACGTCAGCAGAGACCCGGCGGTGCCAGGCCCTGTGAATGTTTCTCTCCCAGCAGGGCGGGCTGGATATGGAAATCAAGATGGTGGAAGACGACGGGAGAACCTACTTTTACCAGATGTGGTACGACCAGGAGTATGCTCGGTTCGAGTCTCCTCCAAAAACTCAGCCCACAGAAGACAACAAATATAAGTGAGTGCGTGTGGGAAAGCAGCTTGCAGGGCATCGCAGAGGAGCTTTCCAGCCACACTCAGGACTAAATTTAGCCGCAGCTTGCTGCTCGGTAGTGGCATGATTGCTCGCCTCCGGGCTGGCGGGCGACAGACTTTGAAGGAGGAGAACATGCTTGTTGCGATGCTTCCACAAGCACAGAGCTGAAGGCAGAGCCAACCAGTATCCTTCCCCTCGACCCAGCCAGCTGAGGGACCTATTTTAACTGTCACTTGGTGTGCAAAAGGCAGCCCTGACCGCTCCGGACTGCTGGGGCGAGGGGGAGCTGCTGTCCTGTTGCTAGATGTTGCTGGTCAGCCTCCCCGAGGTTCCCGTCACGGCGCTCTGCTGTCCTTCTCCTGCAGGTTCTGCATGAGCTGCACGCGTCTAGATGAGGTGAGGCAAAAGGAGATACCCAAAGTGGCTGAGCCCCTGGAAGAGGGGGATGGGAAGATGTTCTACGCAATGGCAACCAAGAATGGAGTGCAGTACAGGGTAGGAGACGGTGTCTACCTCCTGCCGGAAGCCTTTTCCTTCAGGTTGGTGCTTGCAGGGGGCTGTAAGCACTTCTAAGGACGCTGTTCTGTCCAGCGTTTAGGTAGGAGAGGATATAGCAGTCCCTGGGCAGTATGAATCCTGCCAGTGAACTAAGCACCCTTTGCACTCACTGACAAAGGCTCAGGATAGAAATAAAGGTGCCTTTATCACTGGTTTCACCTGCAGATGCTAAATTGAGAGACTTTTCTTTGCTAAGCCAATCCTGACTGCTGAAACACTGGATTGCTGAACCACTGTATTTTGGCTGATGAACTGAAATCCCTGTGTATTTTTTTTTCTGCAAAAGAAAAAGACTGGCTGCGAGTAGATGAAAGATAGAACAAGACCCTGCCTGCTGCCTATAATTAAGGGAAAAGTTAGGGCAAACCTCCCTTTGGGAAGAGGGTTGGGGGTAGCAACCTGCAGGTATCTTGGTTTGCACCCGTGCGTCTTTGCAGTCTGCGTGGCTGCAGGCGCGTGGGGCTGTGCTGGAGTCCGGCTGTAAAAGGTCAGTGCGCTGCGGAGCGGGTGGCTTGGCCATCCTCACCGCCGCCCTGCAACGGGGAGAGGAGAGCAGGTTGAAGCAGGCGAGGATGGGGGAGGAGGATGCCCTATGCTGCCGTGTCTTGGAGGAAAGAGGTATCCCAGCCTCCTTCCCTCACCTGCTCCCCTGCTCCCCAGTATGAAGCCTGCCAGCCCAGCCAAGCGCCCCAAGAAGGAGGCAGTGGATGAGGAGCTGCACCCGGAGCACTACCGCAAGTACTCGGAGTACATCAAGGGCAGCAACCTGGATGCCCCTGACCCCTACCGCGTGGGCCGCATCAAAGAGATCTTCTGCAACATCCGCAGCAACGGCAAGCCCAACGAGGCCGACATCAAGCTACGCATCTACAAGTTCTACAGGTGAGCGGCGTCGAGTCGGGGCCGTGCTGTGGGGAGCCGGTCTGCGCCACACGGGTTTCGCCCTGCTTCCCGGCTCCTTAGGGCTGGGAAGAGCTCTGTGCCTCCAACATGAGGACGCTCCTGAGGCAGGTACCTCGAGCATCTCTGTGTTCGGTTAGCGCAGCTGCTTGAGCGGGCTGCCAGTCGGGGATCAGCATCGCCAGCGCCATCCCAGGGTGTGGGTGTTTACCCAAACATTTGGAGGCTCTTAAGTCATCTCCCACATGCCACAGAGAGACGCGTGCAAAGAGCCTTGGCAGCAGGAGAGGAACGTAGTTACGCTTAGACTTCGTGCACTTTGAACGTAGTAGCTCTACCTGCTTAAGATCTTTTTGCCTTTAAATTTGTTGACCAATTTCAGTGTCAGCTCCCCCCTCTCCCCCAAGAAAACCCCAAAAACTCCCTTTGGTATGAAACAAGTCCTTCGTTTGGTGCTGTGCCCGGGTGATGGTAGTAAACATGTGCAGAAGGAGGAAATAAACCCGCCTCTCTCTGGGGAGACAGAGCTGTGCAGCGGAACGAGCGTTGGAGCCTGGGCCGGGTCAGGGCTAGGAGGTTCCTGGGACATGTTCCCTGAGCCAGGGTGTTCTTTCCCTGCAGGCCTGAGAACACGCACAAGTCCATGAAAGCCAGTTACCACGCTGATATCAACCTCCTGTACTGGAGCGATGAGGAGACAACAGTTGACTTCCGGGCCGTGCAGGGCCGCTGCACCGTGGTGTACGGAGAGGACCTAACGGAAAGCATCCAGGACTATTCTGCCAGCGGGCTCGACCGCTTCTACTTCTTGGAGGTGAGGGTCCTGCAGGAGCCAGAAGCCGACAGGCCTGGCTGCGTCCCCAGGTGTGCCGAGTCCAGGGCGCTGCACCTGAGCAGAAGGATCGCGCTCTGCCTGTGCGCCATGGAAATCCTGCAGCACTGCTCTGGGCTGTTCACCGCAAGTGCAGGGCTCTCCTGAGCAGCAGTGCTGTCACATCAAGGAGTGTCGTTAGCTGCGCACAGAACTTTGAAAAAGTCTCAGATTCAAAGGATACTTCAACTTAAAAGCCACCAGGAGTTTGTTGTCAGTCCCTGGAGTGGTTGCTCCCTGTGGAGGTGAAGGGCTGTATTCAGACCTCGCGTGGCCTCTCTGGCACCTTGTGCAGTTCAGACAGCCCTGAGGCAACGGAGGGAGGCGAGATGCATCCTCTGCGCGCCCCAGCGCTGCTCCTGTGTTGTTCCCCCAGTTTTCACAGTTCAGATGGGGTATTGGCAACGTCTGTGTTGTTTCTTAGCCCTTTGTGTTAAGGTATCCTGATCTCTTTCTCTTTGCAGGCTTACAACGCAAAGACCAAGAGCTTTGAAGATCCTCCAAACCACGCGCGGAGCTCTGGGAATAAAGGGAAGGGGAAAGGGAAAGGGAAAGGTAATTCTGGCTGGGGAGGTCTCGAGTCAGTGAACCAGTTCGCGTCTGCCGTTACTTGCTGTAGAGTAGAGATAAGACTGCCCGCTAACCAGATGTTTCTGTGCACTTCTCCTGCTCTGATGTTCTCACAGGATGCAGCTATGTGGTCTGCAGCTCTATTTCTAAGAGACAGCCATGTGAGACCTAATTTCTCCGAAATAAATCTTGCAGTGACAACGTAGGGTCCCTTGTGCTTTGCGCTGTCCCTGTTCTGTGGTGCCCTCAGAGATCTTGAAGTCTTTTACCTACCGGCTGCCCGTTGCCGGGGCTGGTCGCTCCGCAGTGCAGGGCTTCGTGCCTTGCTACCACAGGGGAACGTTCGCGATACAGGGAGCTGCCCTGTGAGTTACCACAGCTCCAGCCTTACCCGCAGAAACGGTCGGTGGCTAAGAGCTGTTGGTTGGAAAGGAATTGCACTGGGAAAGATGAGAAGCTTCCTTTCCAAATGCAAGGGCGTATTCTGGCAACGGCAGTGAAAAAATTATGGATAGAAAGGTGCTTTAAGCTGGTGTTTTAACTGCTGTGGAGGAGGGGAGAAGAATTTGCCTTGTAAGCACTAAGATGAGGAAATGACTTTGCCTTTTGATGTGATCTGGGCTCCGTTTGCAGGCAAGGGCAAAGGGAAATCGTCTGTGACCTGTGAGCAGAGCGAGCAGGAGCCAGCTGACCTGAAGCTGCCCAAGCTGCGTACCTTAGACGTGTTCTCTGGCTGCGGAGGGCTGTCTGAGGGCTTCCACCAGGCAGGTGAGCTGCAGAGCTGAGACAGCAGCTGGGAAATGACCAGAGCGCACGGGGAGGCGGGAATCAGTGCTGGCCTCTCATGCCGAGTTCCTGCTTGGTGTCTCGATCCCTTTTGTTGGGCGCCGTGTTTGGGATGGAGCATGAGCTGGATCAGGCGATGTGAGGAAATCCTCGCTGCACAAGCGCAAGACCCTCTGCTTTGCCTCCCTCCCCAGGTGTGTCGGAAACGCTCTGGGCCATCGAGATGTGGGAGCCAGCCGCCCAGGCCTTCCGGCTGAACAATCCCGGCACCACCGTGTTCGTGCTGCTAAAGTGGGTCATGTCTGGTGAGAAGACCAACTCGCTGGGGCAGAAGCTGCCGCAGAAGGGGGATGTGGAGATGCTGTGTGGTGGTCCCCCGTGCCAGGGCTTCAGCGGCATGAACCGCTTCAACTCCCGCACCTACTCCAAGTTCAAGAACTCCCTGGTGGTCTCCTTTCTCAGGTGAGCAGGCCGCAGTGAGGAGCTTGCAGGTCAGTGGCTTGTCCCGAAGGACCCAGGCGTCGAATGTTGCTCTGTCTCTCTGCTCACATGTCCCTTTCCCTCCTCGCAGCTACTGTGACTACTACAGGCCGCGGTTCTTTTTGCTGGAGAACGTGAGGAACTTTGTGTCCTTCAAGCGCTCCATGGTTCTGAAGCTCACCTTGCGGTGCCTCGTCCGCATGGGTTATCAGTGCACCTTCGGGGTCCTGCAGGTAGGGCGGTTGCGGCTGGAGTGCGGCAGAGACCGCGCACGCAGGACACTTCCTTTAGCGGCAGGTCCTGAGATAGTGAACTAGGGCTAAAACCCCTCTCCTCTAGCCTGGCTCTGCAATGAACTATAACCTCCAAAGGAGCAATTTGCTGTGTTACTGCTCAAGCTCTTTGAGTTTTGTCTTCCCTCGGTCTGGCGGAGGGGACGCTCCCAGCTCTTTCAGGGCCCTGGTTGGATGGGGACGCTCCAGGCCTCGTTGCGGTCTCCCCAGGAGCGTCCTTTCGTTCCCAGGCTGGTCAGTACGGCGTGGCCCAGACGCGACG